ATCTTATTTCGCGGTCTCTAAGTAAGCTTGTTTTGAGTTCACCTCTCTTTACAAGTCGCTGTTTACACTTGTTTCTTGTCGGCGTGCGTCTAGCCGACGCAGAGGCAGTGATAATCAAAAGTATCACGATGTGCCATAATTCTCTGGGCTAGCACAATACGAAACATTCTTGATTGGTGGCCACTGCTAACTGACGACATCGCTTTGGGTTGGTTCTATCTTCTCCGCTAGTGCATTTTGAAAGACGGTAAAACAGTCTGGTTAGGACAGCTTATCGCCTTCTAACCGTTTCTGCTTCACCCGCCGAGGAATATTAGCACCTAATGGCTGATATTCGTGGTGGAATTTGAGGTGTGCTCAAATGCGATTGGCAGTCTTGTATGCGATCGCGATATTTTTGGTTTATAGTGATTTGGTCGATCTGGTGTTATACGGTTTTGGGGGAAAGTGGTCTGTTTTTCTGGACAGAAGCCCTATACTTTTCTATGGCCAATTGTAATCAGGATGATTGAGAATGGTGTAAGGGATGAGGAACCGCCAAACGCGTTCTGGAGGATAGAGACCAAAATTGTAACGGTGCAGGAAGGAACTAAATGGCCAGTGAAAGCCAAATTGATATACAATTGCGTTCATATATGAAGCATCTTCGTGCAGATTTTCTCAATGACATTGTGTTCCGTTTTGAACTTGTCACTCACACAGTAACCTCACCAGTTGAAATGCGCAAACACGGAACGCGACCAATCCGTCATGAGGTTACCAATACAACTGCTGGTATTGTTTAATTCTGTTCATGATCTACCGCTACGCGACACATGTCTGTGACCCCAACCTCACCCCTGACAGCAGGTGTCATATAGATTCTCGCATTTACCGGATGACGGTGATATAGCCAGATTGCATTTCGTTTGCCTCACACTAGAGAATCACTAACATTCGCACACTCGTAGATCGGGCACTTCTCGTTCGCTGCGAGTAAACTCCTGTTAAAGCCTAACTTGCTTGCCAAGCATCATTTTCTCATCTTTAACGTAACCCTGTTCAAGTTTGTATTGTTATATAAGAGCATTTCTAGCGCATGGTCAATCGAAAAGATGAACTTAAGAGAAAATGGTCGTGTCGATTAGTCAGTCACCCGCTACCATTCCTATGATTTTATATATATACATATATATGCCGCAGTCTGCTTTTAGCGGGTTAGGTGAACATATTGTCTTCCTGTTTACGCAGTGAACGCCCAGCACTGAAAATGAAATCACAGATAGCTTGCAAATTTATGCTACTACTTTGTCATCTTTCAGGTCTAAATTATTTGGTTATTTTTATCGCCCCCGTCGGTTTTAGTACTATACGCACCCTTTACCTCATGATATTTATAGACTGATAATCACCATATTTTTCCTGTTTTAGTGCTGGTTTTCTGTGTGTGTTCTCAAACGACTGGGGAAAGACTGTCCTGTCATTCGAGTTGGAACTAGTTTATGTTTCCACACGTGCAGTGGAATCATCTGCGTCCGTCTCAATCAAGCGTAGACTCACCCTAAAACCTCGAGCTCAGTTGCATCGAACGGGTGGCCCTGGATCTCAATCACCTGCGCGACTTACACTGACCGCTAAGTCAGCTCCTTTGACCGCTGCGCAACCTGAAACAGTCGANAATCGCTCGGATCAAGTGTTCCACCCGACAATCCCACAGCCGCCAGTCAATCGGATAGTGAATTGCAGATTGGTGTTAAGATGAAACGTATTCGTGGTGACTCCTTTATGTACACAAGCCTTTGTCGCACGGTCTTGGAGCTTGCCGATATTCGAACCTGAGTTGGTTCGAAAATTTGAATTTTTGAGAGTTATTTCTGGCTCCACCAATCTATTCTGATCAATCTTTTTTTACTTTTACCCGATGCGTCAGAGAACACTTATTCTTGCAACTCCACATACTTGATCTTCGCACAATGAATGCAAACAGATGCTATTTTGTTATGGAAAAATCGAAATTTTTTATCCATTCAGCACTGGCTTGCTTTTCTAGTTGTACCAAACTTTGACAGAGCTTCGTCAGCATAGGTTGAACTTATCAATGAGTCAATCGGTCATTTGTGAATTGATTGCACAAGCTGTTGGATAAGGATAAAACAAGAGCCTAGTATCTAGACTTTATTCACTTTAGTTTATGCAAACATTAGACATGCACTATCGTGCATGAAGTACCAACGATTGGTTCCGCCGAAAGGAACAAACGGACAATTACCCTCAGCGCCGGAATTGTGGTTCCTCTTGGGTTCTTTCGGGGACTGAAGTGGCAATGGGTGCGTTACCCATGATGACGGGACTAGTTTGGGATAGCCGTTAGCATTCGCATGCTGAACTCAGACGGCCTCACAATCATTGGACAGCTGAAAGCCTGAGTATACGGTCTCTTTTTTTCCTTATATTATCCACCAGTGAGTGACCTTGTCCCATTTTGTGACTAAGCTAACACTCAGGAGACGGCAAATAGTAGGGTTGTCGCAGACCGGGTACTTTTATTCAACCACAACGGTTTGATGAAGGCATTAATGCGATATGCCCTAAACGGGCTTCCGTATCCTCGGCCTAACAGTCACGTAACTGTGCGAACTGCTTACTACTATAGCACAACATTTCCTAACAGAATACAGCGTCTCCCAGTGACACGTTTCAACATTTTACCATAATAATCATCTTAGCTCAAATGATTAAGTAAATTCTCTTGACAAAGTATTGAAGATTGGTTCTCGTAGCTCGGGTGAACTTAATTCTATTTCGCCGAACTTGGCAGTTTGTTTGCAAACGTTCCATCACCAGCCGAGGTGACATCATCAGTGCTTGTGAAGTGGCAGTCTTCTGCTTGTGTCTGTTCGTTTATATATGTGTTCTTCTCCACCGACCATTGCTGTCCCTTGTTCTCATTGTGTTCGCCGTTAAACTGGCGCGTGGGGGAGAGGTTTGTAGGGGAGGGGGGTGATTGTCCATCCGGCCTGATTGCTGTTTCGGTCCGTTCTCAGGTCACGCCGTGACCTTTTTCGTTGCGTCATTTGATCCTTAAGTTGCATTGGCGTGTACACGTGATCAAGTTCGTTGTGCCTGTTGATTGAGGAGTGCCAAGCTTCGAGAAATTCCCTGGCGTGTTTTGACCGGGCTTGGTCGATAATTTTCACTGAAGCGAAGTCAAACCGATGTCCTTCTTGATCTTCGTGGAGGGAAATCAAAGATAGTGGGTCATGTCTCCTGACTGCCGCTTGGTGTTCACGGACCCTTGTGGACAGCTTTCTCTGTTCGTCCGATATAGTTGCAGTTCTTGCAATTTATTTTGTAGATAACACTGCTGTTCGGAAGAATCCAAACACACTGCAACACCGACATACTCAAGAAGAAAGATATCTCCTCAGCGTATCTGCACGCAACGTTAATTTCAGGGCACTCCACGGCACATTATTTGGTACTCGGAAAAATGCCCTCGTAATCACTTCCGATTAACTACAATGATAGTGAGTGAATAAGACACGATACTGTGCTACGCTGCGATTATCTTTCCCAGTACGTTACTCTTGTACCCACAACGCCAGCGCCTGTACAACCTAGCAGGCTTGCTGTTCGCATGAGATCAACTAGAATAACTTGGGGATCAAATTAAAATAATAACAAGCCTCGAGTATTGTTCTTAGGAGAGCTGCACAACGTTGTATATCTGCAGGGCCTGTGCCCCAAGCTTAACGCATGGACGGTATGTGTATCACTACTGTGGCTATTGATTTCTCTACTGAATAATAAGGATTACTTCCCAGTATAGGAACCAACGCTATGAAAAAACAGGCTGTCTTAGGATACGGCAATGTCGACAGCAACCAATTAATGGCAATGGCAATAAACAAATATTGATTGTTGAAGTATTTAGGCTAGGACAGTCGTCAATGTACTTCCAGGTGTAAGTGCGTCGAATGGGTATAAGATTGTTGATTGTATCTCAACTTATCTTGCAATCATAGCGCTCCGAAACAGACAAGTGACTGATATGGCTAGCGATTGTGGCCTAACTCGCTGATATCAGGCACAAGAAAGATAACGATGCATTTAAAGATGCTTAAAGTGCCCCAAAACAAGTTAAATTACGTCTCGCAACGGCAGAAGCAGCTAGCAAACAAGTGGTTACCGCACTCCAGTTGCCTCAGACCCACACCACCTAACTGAAACGCATGTATTGTTGCATACACAGGTCATTAGAATAAAACCAGCGAGACGGACCGAACCAAGATCTCAATCGAGTCATGATAACGCTACATGGAGTGGTACGTTGCGCGCAAACAAAGCGTCAACGGAAACTTTCAGAGGTGACTTTACTTTCCACTCCCTTTTCCATACGCTCCTATTTAGAGCGACAACGAAGCCCTGATTAGTATTCGATGGAATTAGCTAGATCACCACCCAGTGGGTATCAGATGTACTGCTTTGTGTAGTTAACAGTGGTACTTTTCACTACTACTCATGAACTCATTGTGAAATTAGTACTTTTATATCGTGCGTGCAAAGTGGGAGTAGCTCTAGACACTAATGTTGTTCGGAACCAAAATGAGTGGGATTGAAAGACTGGTTCGAATTTGTACAGTCATGCAGGCCATCATGTTCATAAATTTGGTTTCTTTGTGCATAGGTAACGAAGCAGGCGATATCGTGACTTCGCCTGGCGAAATAGCGTTCGGTACGGATGATTGCCTTCGTGTGGGCGCGGCCATACATTGAGTTGTTTTCGAATCCATGGATGCATCAAAGTCAAGTGGGTGCAAAATTGGTGCGTGGTCGATGCACACCAGTATATCACCATTGCCTGTCAAATAAACGAGGGAAAAATAAGTTACTTGGAGGAACGGTACGCCGCAAGGGTTAGAACACATGGCAGTTAAATCTACTTGATCCCGTCTAAGGAAGCGTATTGCAATTTCAGGTTATACGACCATCAATCATGTCTTTTCGTGTGACGGTTTGCTTTACCGTTTATAGTTATCCAGCTAGATGGAGTAGAATAAAGGGTGGAATTTTGGAGGCAGTGTAATTGTGAAAATAATGGATCCTAGTAGACCAAGAATGAGGAAATGTACGAGCGCTACTGTTTACTACACTCACTGCATTTGATCATCGGTGACATTAATATGGAGATCTCCGTCCGGGAAGTATAACACTAAATGCATGTCCAAGTCTTTTGGTCAGCGTTTTCATACGCCCAAGTTAGGTTCCAGTTTCTCCGCCCTTGGCTTTCGTCAGCCTACCATCTGCCTCGATCAACATCGCATGCCGTGACGATTTATTTAAATATCTGTGTAACACAGGTCACAACCAAGGTAGCTACGGCTATCCACCCACTGGCCCAACAGACGACCACGATAGCGTAAAACTCTAAGTTCATACAGTGTACCATATGCATCACAGTAAAATAATCTTCAAAACAACAAAAAATTCCATGATTGAATCGTGGGCGGGATACTGCCGGGCAACCCAAGACAAATTAAGCGAATTTTCTGCAGAACTTCACAACTGGAGCATCGAACTAGCCAAAGCGTAATTCACAAGGCAATGGAACGGTGTGTGAAAACCGCAGTCACTGTCCAGTTCATCGAACAGAGTCGATTATCGAAGGTGCCCAGTACACCTCAATCTCCGATCGAGCCGGACCACAGGTTTATAGATCTCTTCTTGAGTGGAAAACAAACCAGGCAAGATATAGCTCCTACATGCTGCTTCATATCTGGTAACAAGTGCGTTGAACGTACAGCAGTCATTAAACTTGGATGAGTGTGCGGCGCGATCAGTAGCTGCTGCAAACTGTATTAAGTTTACAGTTCAGGGAAGTGAAATGAGTACCACTTATAACAGACGATTATTTTGATGGTAGAGTTGCGCAGATAACAAGTCACATTAGCTGGACTCCTGAATGGAACTATGATATTCAGCTTCGAGATGAGGTCTAGCATCAACCTTGCTGATAGATTCACACTACTGGTAGGACCTGTGTAAGAGCAAGTTAGCAGTGGAACCCATGTCAGGGATTATATCATGGTCTGGAGTACCATTTTTCCGATAGAAATTCTCAGTTGGCAGTCTTTGAAGGATATCAGACAGTTAAATTTTACGTCAAAAGCTTGGACAGGAATATTCACACCGAGATTGCAGAAAATCAAGGGGGAACCATAATTCTCCAACACGATAAGGCCTCTAGTCAGCGCCCAACTCACTAGAATGTGGTCGTCGCACCGTAACATCAGGACTGTGGACTGGGCAGTTCATAGACTGGATTNGACTGGATTTGAAATCCACTGCTGGGGACTATTGGCGAGGTGGGTTTATGCATATGGAAAGATATTTCACATTGTCCATGGATTAAGGATAATTATCTTTCATGCGTAGAACAGTTTTGAAGTTAAATCAATCCGAAACCTGAGTGGTGCACTCCAATAATGAATAATACAGGTCCGTGTGTTCCAATCAAATGGATATTTTCATTATTTTAATGGGGTTAACAGCATTTCGCGCACTCTACTTAAACAAAATTGTTTCTAATTATCTCCGATTATCTGGTTTTGAACTGCTTTCAATCTGTGGTAAACAAAAAAGCTAACAATTATAAGACGAAAACTTTAAACAACGAACCTTGGGGAAAAACATGGCGGCCGAGAATATGAGACCGTTAACAAACCAGCCGATCCCACGGCCGACTTTGTAACCAACAGGGTCTGAGAAGCGACTTGGGTTAGTGATCGATTCAGGTGGACGAAGCTGACGAAGGTACATCAACTCGACATTAGCCAAACCAACAATCAGCAACGCAATCGGTAAAACTGGGCTGTTACACGCCACAGTCAAACCTTCAGACACCATTCCGGGAACTACACAGTCCCAACCTTCAAAAAGGAAATAGGATAAATCAAAAGACATCATGAGTGTCGCAAAATTAATCAATTTTATGCATTTCTGCTCTCTCCCGAAAAGCATATTGAATACTCGCTGGAATGGTTGTTGACCCTCAAAATCTTTGGTCACAGTCGCATACCATTAGAGGATGGTTGATAAGCACGACCAATGCCATTCCCTCGACAATCTTTATTAAATTGTTAAATGAAGCTTCGGTTAAGTGGAATTTATTCACGGACTACAATTCTCGATACATCTGTGTAGGAGGTCCCGCTGATTTGATATTCAGAATGCGACAAAAAGGATAGGAGCTACCTGATTTTTCAGCATTTTCACCTTCTGTTATCTGTTGAAAACAGATTTGGGTCCAAACGACTAGACGCACAGTAGAACACAAAAAAACCGAAATTATGTGCTCATTAGAACAGGAAACGAGCCACAAAGGAAGGGGGGTACCAAAGTATAGGATATTTAGAGTTAGCTCTGCTAAACAGTAACTAATTAAAATCGTGTGCAACCGAGATTCCCGTTGAGGAATACTATTAATTCGCTAGCTATTTTAAACCATCAATTTTTATGATCCTGTTTTGATCTTGGCTTGTAAGGAACAGTCTACTTATAGCCATCAGGGCTAATGAATCTCGAGATATTTAATACCTCGGACGAACTTCAGGCTCAGACACACAAGCAATGTTCGCAGCAAAATGCATAATTTTTCTTCTTACTGTTTCGTATCTAACCTGTGGGTAAAATGACGATGTCTTAATTTTTACGCAATGCTTTTAGTGATCTCGGGCGGTGGTAGGTGATGTCTCTCTGACCTGTGAGTTGCTGGCAGATATTTGTCCTGAGCTGTTGTCATTCTCCTTCAGCCAGTGGACACTTTCGAATTCCGGCGCTGAAATCGGTCGGCTTTGCGGTTGCGCAGTTGGATTTTAGTTCTCTCGGAAAGACAGATGTTTTTCCTGGTGCATGTTCATAGGCTGAAAGATAGCGGATTACTTTGGCGTCTTTGTTTCGTCGCGTTTAGTGACAAAAATTCCTTATGGAGTCCCTCCTTAGCTTTGGTCGGCAAGCATCTAACATTGTTTGGATAACTCACTCCACTCATTTCATACAATCTTGATGCTTCTGTTCCGAGACAAGTGGATTTGTTTTCGTAGACTTATTTTCTTTGGTGAGCGTCGTTGATAAGTTAACGGTGCATTCGTTCGCGCCCAGTCCGATGACACTGGGGGTTGCAGTAAATTCTTTTTGCTAAGCTATTATTATGTAAACTTTGATGAAGGAAGAATAAATGTATATATCGGAAACAACGGACAACCAAACGACTACGGATTGGAGACAGTCCAAATAAAGCACACAGGAGACCAATTGGACAACACGTCGTTTGCACAAACCACGGTACAGACAAACCTTGAATGAAAGCTAATATTTTGTTTCAACAGGACAGCGCTGCACCAAACCATACACAACTGGTGCGAAATACATACACCTTCAGAGGAAAACTTTTTGGAAGGGGCGGTGTATTTAGAGCACATGGTTCACTCAAGGCGACCATAATGGCCATACAAGTTGAAGGTGACCATTGTGGAGGAATGACGTGCCACTTCGGAAATCATCTTGATCCAAGAATCTTGTTTGAAGCTGATACACTTCTGCGAACATAATACCGGTCAGTATAAAACAGCGGGTTGTCGGGATATTTAAGATGAAGAACGGCACTAGTTGAGAAAAAGTGCGTCAATATTATTTGAAAAGCAGAAGTATGAATGACCTGTGTTACAAATTGCCGAAATTTTGGCACAATACTAGCAAACTTTATATTACACTTTGTTACAACAGTTCTCACTGAACCGTTTCGCACACTTCCTAAACATCCCAGGATACGGATTCGCTGGTGACCTCACAACAGACATAAAACGGATATTTACGTCTTAGCTGTAAAATTTTGAGGATTCATTTAACTGAAATGTAGGCTTCATGCCTGCAGAAGTTATCACAATACAATACAATAATCAACCGAAAATGTTCGCTTTTTCACACTTGAAGTATTTCTGAAATTATATCATATATATTTGTTAGTCGAATGCCTGCCAACTGAGCCAGGTCGACTTGATGGTACGATGCGGACGTGTTCAGTTGTGTGTGCACATTGATCTGGGTGAATAAATAACAAACGCTCAATAGAGTCATTGATGGAGGGTATAAAATAATCGGCACTCACCGTAATCAGGAGCCATCTGATATCCACACATATATCGGAGTGTGAAGGAGAATGACAACCAGAAAGGGAACTGTACGATGGCAGTAGCCGCAGATTTAAGGGGATGACAGTGATTTCTTTCACATGTTTCGATAAACACACGACGAGCCTACAGGATAGAATATCTGGACAAAAGTAGAGAAAACTAACCATCTTATTGAAATATTTCTGAGCTGCCAACGGATCAAGCTGAGTGAAACGGGCCGATGATTCCAACTTCTTTCGCAACAGCGATCGAGTACTAGCACAATCCATAGTGACGTATATTACTTTGGCTAGATTTTTTTCTGAATACACGTAAAAGGGGGAGTTTACAAGAGTCCTGAGCATAAACGCCGTACATACAATGGTCCAGTCCCAAGGCATTTGGGTGATGGCATGAGTGGATGTCAGTGCACAGTTCAGAGCTTTCATGTAAAAATAATCTGGATAAAATAGCTCCCGACCAAAGAAATCAACCAGCGAAGCAGTCGAAGAAAGTCGTTCACTCATAGGCATCGGTGCCTTTTTCAGGCAGTGGAACATGCGCGTCCGCAGAGTTAATCGAATCTGAAAATAAATCAACGGACGTACTAAATGTAACAACTTTGACTGTGAGAACAATAAAAACTAAAGAGATGTGATGAGGTTCACGAATAATGCCCACAAATTCGCGATTGTAATTTGACCGTTGTCAATTGAACACTAGCTTAATATAAGGAGTTATTCACAGGATAAAAAACAAAACAACGCAGTGCACGTGAGCCCTATGCCGAAATGAAGCAAACAAGAAGGTCGTTACCGTCCTATTTCACATTATCATCGTAGAGCGAAATACAGTGAAGCGAGCTTCACTGAACGCTGCTAAACTCGCAATGCATACAAGGTTAGTGGTAAAGTTTAAGGTGGAGAGGGATTGGATCTAATTTGAGGGAGGGAGAAGGTGAGCCACTACGGTCAACACAGAGTACGCAATCGAACTCTGCATACATACCGTTTCAAGCATTCTGA